AAGCAACATTGATAAGTCTTTGAAATGTAATTTTGTTTATTTTGCTTCACGTCTTCAAAATATTATGAATTTATTAGATTTCAAGCGATTTCTACTTGTCAGCACCTAAAATTTATATTAAAATTTCAGTGGTACCGATGGAGATCAAGCCACCCGAGTTCCTATAATACAATGAGCGCACAGCTCGTAAACTGCAATGCTCACCATTACAGCCTATTCAGACCATTGCTGGACACAGGCTTCTGCCATAACTTGCCGTAGTTGCCGTGCTTGGCCAGCGGGTTGGTAACAGCGGCTTCATAATTTTATTTACTTGTTATCGGGAAGATGCAAATGGCCCATCTGACGCGATGAACGGATATACAAATATTTTAATTTTAATTAAATCTGACTTTCTAACAACTTTAATGTATGCAACGAAGCGTACAACAACATATTGTCTCTAATTAATATTCGTTTGAATAAGACGCATTTGCCGCTTTTACTTAGTAATATAGAAATAACACGATACTTCTGTGTGTAAATATGTGTAAATTAGGATAACGCTTTAGATTAGACATATTACCATGAGTGAACTTTCTGCTTGCTGTGTTTGTTCATCCGAGTATTTTCAACGTGAATAAATGTTGCCTCAAACTATCTTACTCTCAAACGGTGCGGACCATTTTAGGTATAGGAGGTATAGGTCATAAGGAAACGTTTAATTTCATATTTATCGCCTGGCAGTTTGTGTTGAACTTTCCATAACGGTCCTTGCTACTATTTATTTTAATAAAACGTAGTCGTCACTCTACTATCTACGTAATAATTGCGGATTTTTTATGATATTTCTAGTTCATTTCAATTTATGTTAAATGTATTTATTAATAAAAGAATAAATGAATAAATAGCACAGAAATTTGGGCTCTAAAACAAAAACAGTTGGGTAGTGCAGTTGCTAAGCGATTCGGGTTGTGGATTCGAATCTCGCTACAAACAAGTTCTTGTATTGCCCAGCTCCAAACGATTCATAGATTACGATTTTGTCAATGTTCTTTTATTTACCAATGTTATTTCGATATAATATGTACATAATATGAAGGTATATATGCTAAGGACCTCTAAAGTCTAGCTGGTCGTAGGCTATATTCATTAGAAAGGGTTTAACCACAACGACCACGCCTCTAAGGGATGTTTGTAATTTCACTACTGATTATTTTACCAAGCTTACGTCGGTGCTCATTACCTGATTAATTAATTACAATGCTCTTAATAAAGAGAGAAAAAGGAACAGGAGATAGGGACGGGATCTGGTAAAAGTGGAAATAATAATAATAATAATTGTAGGCATATATAACTAGACCGGTCAATAACAATGTAACTATTTAAAAGGTAATTTTCGTACTTTTTTCTGAAGTAAAAGGATCATGTTTATTAATTAAGAAATTTCGATCGGCTTGCCGCCATTTCTAATATTATTTTAAAAGAAGTAAAAAATAGAGGACGTTCCATTGAACCTTGACGTTTAAAAAATACTTAAAAGGAGAACTATTTTCAGGTACTGTTATGAATGTAAATTTATTGTTGCAGAATAATAATTATTATTTTATTTCGACGACATTCTACTTGTCGAACCTTAAGTCCTTAAACTTGTGGTGTTCCTTGGTCAACTTAAGAGTGCATTAGTAAAATTAAACATGTCATTAAAAACTGAAACAAAAAAATGTTTTCACAATATACTTAGACTTATTACAAATAGTATTTTATAATTAACAGTCCAATGTTTTTTCTAGTCACGTACCGTGCAAAATATACGAACGAATATGTATGGGAATTTTACTGCAAATGTCTAATTTCACGAAGATGGTAACATCGCGGCTAAAGGACTTCTTTCGTGAAATAGTCACTTCTAAAACTATAGTTCAAACCTGAGACCTGAAATAAAAATGAACCACGTTTTCTAATAATTGTTTTATCCTCGTCTAGTTCACGTTCTTACAATATTATAGCCACACATAAGAAAATACTTTTCGTATGTAAAACTTCTGAAATAGGCATAGACAAAGTAAGTACTTCTTTTTTGTCGTGATGTTAATCCGTCACTTTTCACATGCAGCTCATTAACAAAAAGATAGGCTCTACTACTACATACATATAGATTGTACATACATACTATTTGCTTTCCTCGCATTCGCCTCGTTACTGATAAGCCGAGAACGTTAAATATGTGCCTCCTGCGACGTGCGTCCTGAGATACGGAAAAATACCCTTCAACACGCTACATTGCGTTGTTATCATCATGTTGTATAATATCAACAACATTCACTTTAATTTTATAAAAATAGAAGCAGCTTCATACTATAAAGCAAGATAATAAAATTAATTACCAATACATTGCAAAAATTGCTCAGTGTAATCAAAATATTTCCGAGACAGTTATTCATGTAGTCGATTAATTCGATGGTTTAAACTAGGGATGTTAGTAGTTACGTTGTACCAGTTCTGGCGCACTGAGTCAGAAGTGGTACAAGAGTAGTTACGTTGTACCAGTTCTGGCGCACTGTTCAAGTACGACGTTCGTCGACTCACGATCCTAAAAAAAAAAAGGTTTTGGCATGCTCTGATCACGAATCTGCGGTCCATTTTTGCGTAGGATGCACGGTTCCGGAGATGTGCAGATCAATTAACTCTTATCTAATTGATATCCGGTGAAGGCCTCCACCGTCATTAGCGCTCCATTTTGTAAGTTTTTGTAAGAATTTTGTAAGTTTCACCGTATTATGTATCATAAAATAGCTGTGGTAGATTTTATTTTTTCTATGTTTGACGTGATAAATGTATTCTCTAGTAGGATCTAATAGTAATTAATACGGAGTTCAAATTTTGCATACTTGTGTTATCAAATGATTTTATTTTGCGAGTTTTAAAAACGTAAACGTATTAATAAAACATTTTTTTTCCAGGTAAATCCATGTTTTCGTCGATTTCGGTAAGCAGAATGCGCGTCATTTTACTATATTTCATAATAATGTAAACTACCTATCGTGTGTGATCGTGATCTACAATAACTTGAATGTAAACACTGTAGTGTTATGCTTACATACATACTTACATATCATTTTACACTATTTTATTTTTATTTTTCCATTCTGTTTTTGATTTTCTACATTCACCTCAAAACTGGATATTTTGCATCACCTTTATTTCCATAGGATCCTGTAATATTTTTAATTCATAAGAACACAATAACAAATCATTTTCACTTCGTATTTTCACGTTATCAGCACTTTTTAAATCGGTGTCAATGGAGTCTACCTTTTTCGATCTTTTATTTAGTTCTCCGTAACTCTACAATTTCGGGTTTCGTGCGCGCTCTTGCGCTACCTTTTTTCCTATATAAATAATATCTCATTTTTCACTTAAATCTTGCCGTTTCTGTATTACGAGCTTAAAACCAAAATTTGACATGTTTTGACATCGTTGTTTATCTGGTTGTCGTGGCAATTTTTATTCAAATATTGTTACCGGCCTGATGTTTTTACTTCAAAAATACTCTTTTCTTCTTGGCCATTTACAAAAATTTGCTTTTAATTTAAATAATTTCAAATAATTTCTCGTTCTTATCCCAGATCCGTCAAAAAGTATAAAAGCCGAAGAATCGGCCGATAGAGGTCCTCACTTCAGCTTTGATACGAGAAGCACCTCTTAAAGGCTTTATCCGCACTGCCTCGGGATCTTGCAAGCCTTCTCCTGAAGTCGTCGCCTAGCCACGCCTACGCCTCCACCTATTAGTGCCCGCGCTATCTTCGGCCGCTGAGCGTGTTTGTCTCAAGCGCTGCGTGTTCCTACTCCAGACGCTGCGTGTCTACTCCGGACGCTGTGTGTGTCTACTCCGGACGTTGTGTTTGCCTACTTCAAGCGCCCCGTGTACCTACTCCAGACGCTGCGTGTCTACTCCGGGTGCTGCGTGTATCTGCTCCGGGCGTTGCGTGGGCCTACTCCAAGCGCTGCGTGTACCTTCTCCAGACGCTGCATGTGCTTTCTCCAGATTCTGCGTGTACCTAGAGCAGGCGCTGCGCACCTATCATAGGCATAGCCTGCGCATACTTCGTTGCAGTATCTTTATTTTTGTTATTTTTTTTAATAATATTGTAAATCACTATCATCATTACAGCCCATCATCACCTTCATACCTTTTTTTTATAAAAGAAACTGTAAATCTTTTCAAATTTTTAAATAATTTATTTTATTTTTGGTTGTTTTGTTGTAGTTAGGTTAGGTTATTTAGTTTTTAATTGTCGCTTTACGACAACACTTATGTATATCTTTGACGTAGATAGTATTAAATTAAATTTCTAAATAAAATTTTCACTTTTTAACTTTATCTTTAGTTAATTTTGAAAGGGAGCACAAATCCTCTGATCGTTTGGAAATAATTACTTTGTAGTTGTATTCTTCTCCATTGTTGTTTTAGGAAGGATTTGCTAAAATCGCGTAGCGTAGTTAGGGATGCCAGATGTCCGGTATTCGACCGGACAGTCCGGTTTTTTATGCTTGTCCGATCACAAAATTTTTGGTAAACCGGACAATAGGTCGTCCGGTAGTAAAATAATCAATCATTATTTCTAAAGAACAGCACGAGCGTTGCGTAGGACCGCGACAGCCGGCGCTTGTCGCCACCCGCGCTACCCCGATTCGTCCCGCGGCCTGCCCCTGCCACTAAAACCCTGCCCCGCCCGTGTCCTCCGCATACGGCGTATCTCAGTCAGTCTGTACTAATTCGTTGAAAGTGAGAAAATCCGCGCTCGCCCCCAATAAATAATCGACGCTATCGTTACAACAAATTTTTGCTGTTTTTTTTTGTGTTGTGTGTGGTTGGTTTTTATAACAATATGGATGACAAGGAAGCATCGACTAGTGCTGTAACGCCACCGAAGAATGTGAGAAGATCTTGCTACTATAATGTTAAATACTAAGTTACTAATGCTAAGTTACTATAATGCAAATCGTGTAAAACTACGTTGACAGTGGCTTATGATGGCGTGAAAACGTTAACACAGCACGCCACGTTAAAGAAGCATAAAGATTCAGCAAGTGCAGCAGCCTTGTCTCAGCGAATGAATTCTTTCTTTACTCCAAAAGGCAGCGCGCAAAGTGGAAAAGTTAGCATTGTCGAATTGGTTGAACTCTATCATAGTATTAAGCACCACATTTCATATGTTGCTCAAGATTGCTCTTTAAAAGTATTAAAGCAAGTTATTACCGATTCAGAAATCGTGAAACAAATGACTGGAGGACACACTAAATGCACTGCTTTGATAAACCAAGTTTTATATCCATATTCAATGGATCTTGTGCAAGAGGGTTTAAAGAATGAAGTTCCGTTCTCCAACGCTATCGATGCTGCTTATAAAGGAAACAGAAAATTCTTTCCAGTTGAGATTCAATATTTTTCACCAAAAGACGGTATTTGTCATAAAATTTTGGACTTTTACGAGGACTCATTCGAAGATTCACGACCTATTAAAGAAAAATTATGACAAGTGTTTAAAAATTCACAGCTACCATGGAGTAGAGTAACAGCATATGGAGCGGACAATGCCTCTGTTAATTTCGGAGTTAATAATTTCGTTTTACAAAAGATTACGTCTGAAGAAAATTACGAAATAAGCTGCTCACTGCAATGATCTCATATTTCATAACTGCGCAAAAAATGCTTTGAAAATAATGCCTGCTGATGTCGAAATTATAGTAATGAAAGTATTTGCAGACTTTTCTTGTTCTGCAAAGAAACGAGAAGAGGTGAAGGAGTGCTTTGATATCTTCAAGAGCCAATACAAAGATGTAATACGTCACGTAATAACAAGGCTCAGCTTGTTTAAAGCTCTCGATAGGATGTTTTTGTCATGGGGACCATTGAAAAAAATTCTTTTTAGAGCAAGGTTCTGTCAACTGCTCAAGGGCTCTTTGGGCTATCTTATCAGATCAAGAAGATCAAATTACAAGTGAGACCAACCCTCCTACAGTGAATTATATTTGTATTTCACTCATATTTTTGTGGCTTCTTTTCAAGAAATTTTGCTGCTGTTAGAAAAACATACACAACGGCATATAGTCTGCATAACATAATGGTGAAAATCCGGGACACTATTATAAAGAAAATAAGTGAAAACCATTTCGGAATGAAAGTACATATGGCATTAAGAAAAGGCTATCTTTCAGATGATCAAGTACAAGAATTTACAAAAAATGCTCTAAATGCTTACCAAAGAGCATTAGCTTATATAGAGAAGTGTTATCCCTTCGATAATAACAATTCGATAATACTTTTAGTTGTTTAGATATCAAAGCCGGAAGACTACCTACGCTGGATCAATTGATTGAGTTGTGGTCAATATCCCCATGGAAGCAGAAAACTCCTCCTGAAAGCATTTACAAAGAAAAAGCTGCACTCCAAAGCGTTTTCTCTTCACTTGAAGGGAATTCGCTTAATATGTGGTGCAAATTTTTAACAACGAAGCAGCGCCAAATTTATTGAAAATTGTATGTGTTTAGTATTCCCATATCTAATGCTTTTGTGGAACGAATCTTCAGCGTCATAGTAAATGTATGGACCGATGAAAGAAATCGTCTCGCCATACAAACTGTAAAAAGTGAATTGTGCATTTTCTTTTTTGAATTTAAAGATGCCATCTCAGGCAATAAGACTATATTAAAGGCAGTCGGGTCGAGTTCTAAATATATAAAAAAGAAGAATGGCTGTAGTTTAGTAAGTTTCCAGTACGCAAAATACATCACAAAAGTACATTTAAGTTGATTTTTTTATCTTTATTTTTTTTTGTATTAAAGTACATTTTTTGTAAGAAATAAAAACAAAAACTTGTCCGGTTTTTTCTTTGAACACATCTGGCATCCCTAAGCGTAGTATGTATGTAAGCGGTTTGGTTGCTACGCAGCGGGGCCGGCTGTTGGAATCCTGTGTTGGAATGCAGTCTTGGTAGAATTGCTTTTTGAAAATTTGAAACGATAGATTAAAAGTAATTTTTATGGCACTGTACGGTTTTAAAAAAAATATAATAATTATGGTGGTACATTATCACTCTAGGATTCATTTAAAACAATTTTTGAAAATGGGTAAAATACGCTATTAAAACGACTGTAGTCTAATGGCAGAGTGCCGACCGCGAACTTAAAGGTTGTGGGTTTGAATCCGCCATTCGACAACTGTCTCGAATCACTCTTAACACAAGCATTTGAAGTTTACCAGCAGCTGCAGTCTCGACATAGATAACGATCACTTTACAACCAATATTTGTTGTTAAGTCATAACAATCCGAATATAACGATTTTTGGTAGTCTGTACTGTCAAAGCGATCGGTACCGATCGTAAACTTTACAATTATTTGTTATGTTTGCTATTATTTTAACTACCATTTTTGACAGCCCGCTAAGTGTTCGTTACGATCATAAGTTGTTTCACAGTTTTATAAATAATCTTTATCTATTATAATATAAGGTTATAATAAAAGTATTAAGTAATTATGGCGGAATCGTATTTAGCACGGGATTTGTTAGAAAACAAATTGTCTACATAAATTTGTTTTTATAAGTATGAGTTTTACCCCATTGTACTTTGAGCGCTGTCACGTTTTAATTCAATTTTTGATTAAATGGCTGTTACTTTTCTATAAGCAATTTGAAACATATTGGAAAATACAGTCTTACAAACTTTTATGTTGGTACCATCATTAGGTAGAACACAGATATAAGTTGTGCTTCTTTTCCTTTTTTGGTTTGTTAGTGCTCTTCTGACATTTTCAGATCTGATGAATTTCGGGAGATACATTTTTTTTCAGTGTTACTTTTAAGCTATAGTATTGAGAAAAGAGGTCAAAACCACAAAACTTTTCATAGCACTTGTAATTGAATGTTGCTATGCATTATATGCTTGTCCTTAGGTTTTTCTTTACCATATTTTTACCGCCTATGTCCACTTAGCCCTTCAATTATCATGTTCATAAGTAATCTAATATCAAAAGCTTAGTCAAAACAATGTGGGATCAACAGGTATTAAGGCTATTTCCAGCCTGCATAAATTGCTTAAAAACATGAAGTATCTTCCCCGTATTATTGATAGTAAAAAGTGTTATTGGATACATTTTACTGATCAGTTTAATTGAAAAAGTTTAAATTATACTCATTAGTCTTAAGGGCTTAGATAGATAGATTAGATATATTAGATTATATTTTTATTGCACCTAGTTACACTCCAGAACATCATCAATAATAAATAAATCTATTTATTATTTATTAGCACAAAAAAGTACACTCCTAACTAAGTTTATTTTAAATTATTTTAGGTGTGTGACCCAGACCTGTTAATTTTGAACATCAATGCTAAATGGCCAGGAGCTAGACACGAGCAGCCTGCGCCTGCGTCACTGTCCCCCACCATTGAAAATTTTATATAAACTATATTTTATATATTAAAATATATGATGTGTTTTATAAAATGTGTAGCATAAAATAAATGATATGTAGGTAATGTCAACGTTGTCAAATCGAGACAGACATGTAATAGTGTTGCAAGGAGGCAAACTTTTATGTCCTTTGATATTTAACAAGTTAGTTCAATTCTTAGAAACGGTAAAAGCTACTTGTTAGTTACATACAAAATATTTTTATAAGAAAAGGTTTCTTCTATTTCTGTACAATTTTCAAAGAAAAGCAATTATTTTTATAAAATAATGTCTGCAAATTTTCCCTATTATTTTTTAACAGCCAACATTTTTTTAAGAAAACCCGCACTATGAATACGTTTTTCGTTAGCGTAACAACAACATAATTAACGATCTTGCACGGAATTTCGGCTGTAGAGACTTGCATTTATTGTAAGCATCGTTACGGCAAGCAATTATTGTTGTTATTATTTAGCGATCGGTAGTTTGCGATGGAGTCGCTGTCTATGTCGAGACTGCAGCTGCAGGATTGGTTAAAATAATATTAGTAGCATTGCTAGTAATTTTTCTCGAAAATATTAAATTAAAAAAATCTTTTACTTGTTGTCGTTGTTGTTGTCATATTTTAACTTTAATTCGTCTAAAATTAAATTCGTCTTAAAGTATGCTTATATAAATTTGTTCAAATTTTCCACAAAATAACATATATTTTGTGGAAAATTTGAATGAATTTGACTTTAAAACTATTGTCATTGTGTTTAAGTTCAAAAGCTTTAAATATCACTGGACAGGTATTTAAACCGATGCTGTCTGAACTCCGATTGAACCATTTAGTATTAACAGTACAAGTGTAACTATGCGCACTAGTCTAAAAATCTATTGTTATTGTGCTGTTGTGCTTGATAAAACGTACCCGTTTTATGGTATCGCAGTGTACATGAGACCGTTACTTTGTATTTTGGCTTTGTATACATTTTATTGTAAATTTGTCTTAGTTGAATCTCAGTCGTAGCTCGTGAAAACAGCGCAGCTGTAGAAGTTCTTTCTAACAAGGTTTTACAATGACAATAATAACAAAACAAACATATCAAAATGTACAAGTCATATAAAAGCTGACTTTGTTGTTATATGATTATCCTTCTCGTCGATTTTAAACAAAGAAACGAGATTTGCTTGAGATAGGTAGTACAGCGAATATAGTATTATCATTGTTATATTTGCCGCGTGGTGGCGGCGCGGCGTTCGTACTGTTAAGAGGGCCGCTCTGAAGGTGTTTAAAAAAAAAAACTTTACACCCAATCTCGGAAGTTCTTTTGGTTTATTTCCCCAATATTAAAATAATACAAAAAATGTACAAAGCCGCGAACGGCGTGTGCGATATGCACTTAATATGGGTTGGAGCTGCACTGCCTCGATTTCCTCAAACTCTAGGCTTTTATACTAAATATAATAATCGAGTCAGCGCTTTTAACTAACTAGGGTTGTAACAACTCCCCCCTTTTGACGGAGCTCATCCTTCTTTTTAATAAGGGATGAGCAGAGTCTTACAACAATACAGTGAAAATAAAAATAATTTGAATACAATAATAATTATTAAATAGTAAAATTGTATTAATTAATTATTATTATAAAATCAATTGAATTTATATAAAGGCATAGTAAAATTAAATTATTCTTAAAAAATTTCTTCAAAAATTATTAAACTTATTTATTGACTTTATGAACTAGTATATTTTATAAGATTCAGTGAATAATGAAATAGTAAAAGATTCAGTGTATAAAAATAAAATAAATAAATCTTAACATTAATTTATAATGTTAAGATTTATTTATTTTATTTTTATTTCAAATACAAACATTTAATAATATTGGTAACTAAGACACAGTGTATAAAACAAAAATATGAACTTAAATTCTAATGTAGCATAAAACATTATGATATAAGTGGATATAGTAAAGTAATACTAATTAATTATTATATAAGTTTCTATTTGACAAGTTAAATTTACCAAATGTTCTTTTCATTTGCTTTTGCACTGGCATATTGGGTAAGGATATAGAATCCTTTTTATCATCGTCTG